CTGACAAGGTGCCCGAAATACTGCCAGCTGCTTCTGAAGGTAATTCAACTCTCTTGCTTAATAGGATTTTCTCATCCCTGAGGTCAGTTTCATGAGGCGAGATTGCCGAGTTAGCGAGAACCTCTGGAAGTTATTGCATGAGGCTAGTTTGAAGTTTATCCCGGCCGATTACTATGGCAGCGTGATATTTCACGCTCGCTGTCGGCTAAGTTAACTTAGCGTATCCCTGACACCATGGAAAAAGTTTTGGGCCCGTCAGAAGCACGATTTTATATCATATAAGCCAGTTTTTTTTTTTGCCTTTTATTACTTATTTACAATCATTTTTATTTGTCTATATAACATGCATTATATGCAGCCAGTCCTTGTATAACACCCACGTTATATCTTATGGGTATTTATTTTCCAGAAGCCATACATCTTCATAACATAACACAGTTTTGGCACATTTTAAGACAGTAGTTAACTTATGAGATAAAAAAAGGAATGTTATTGTCTGTTTTACATATGAATATATAAATATATATCACATATGTTAGTGTCTCCCAATCCAGTTCTCAGGAACCCCAGACAGTCCACATTCTTGCTCCCTCCCAGCTCCCAACACACCTGTACCAGGTATTCGGCGTTCTTGATTGGCTGGGAGCTGGGAGGGAGGAAAAATGTGGACTGGTCGGGGGTCCCCTAGTACTGTTTTTTTTTTTATATACATACGTGTGTGTGCGTGTGTGTGTGTGTGTGTGTGTGTGTGTGAATTAGAAAAGGAAAAGTCTATTGCGCAGCTTTGGCTTTTTTACTGATCTGTACAGGCAGTGGGGGGGGGGAGACATGTACAGCACCTGCTGTGTTTTCAAAGCACCTGGAAGCTTGCATTTGCATTGTGAGGCCGGTGTCCTTGTGCATCAGTGATACAGCACATCCCCCACCCCCACCCCCCGTGGGGTCGTGTGCCGTCGTGTGCCGCCTCACTAAGTTACCGTGACAGCCATACGTCTCTGTGCATGAACAAACAGCACAGGTGCTGCACTGCCGGCCCACTGATGCACTGGAATCGCACTGCACAGGTGCTACACTGCCGGCCCACTGATGCACTGGAATCGCGCTGCACAGGTGCTGTACTGCCGGCCCACTGATGCACTGGAATCGCGCTGCACAGGTGCTGCACTGCCGGCCCGCTGATGCACTGGAATCGCGCTGCACATGTGCTGCACTGCCAGCCCGCTGATGCACTGGAATCGCGCTGCACAGGTGCTGCACTGCCGGCCCGCTGATGCACTGGAATCGTGCTCCGTTTGCCTCACATGCTCAAACCGACTAGCGCAGTCCTGTTCAACCGGACCGGCACCACTCATGAATTATATGGTTGTCTGCATTATGTCCCCCCATGAACCAATCAAGTATGTTCTTACTGGCTGTATCTCTGATACATAGACTATGTACTTTTTAGACCATCGTTTCCCAGTCCGGTGCTCGGGGACAGACAGTCTACGTTTTTGGTCCGGGAGCTGGGAGGGAGCAAAAATGTGGACTGTCTCCGGATCCCCGAGGACTGGATTGGGAACCACTGTTCTAGGTGAATCTGAAATTGCTGTGACAAATTAATTTGTTATGGATAACTTAGCTCCCCCGCCTTGTCCAGCGAGCCCCCTGCCCTGTGTGCCGTGCTTCCTCGAACCCTGTACCGGAGGGCGTCGCTATGACATATACAAGCATTCGCCATTCCAGTTCATTTACTCCATCCTCACAGAGGAGACGGATAGACAGGAGGCAGATCAAGGGGCAGACAGCCTGCATAGCAAATATGTATCGCGAGGTCTCTCCCAATCTCACAGCCCCTCCTCCTCCTCTTATTCCGCAGTTGTTATCTTCTGCGGAGTCTCTGCCCCCCCCCCCCATAGCCATTCCTTTTCCTCTACATCCTGCAGCTCCCCCCCCAGCTGTAATTCCTTTACAGCCCCAGTTTCTCATCATAAACAAAGGCACAACGCAGCCTTCGCCTGAGTCTCGTCCTTTGCATATTTTTGAGACGCACAACCTCATTCCCCAAGTCTCATAAACCCCATAAAAATCCCCTTTCCGTCACTCCACTGCCACACCTCTCTGATCAGTAGCATTTTGCCTGTCTTGTCTCCTCGCATCCCTTTCATGACCCTGTCACTGTATGCCGACGATTAAGCACTGCCGATGTACCTGAGTTTGACTCAGTTCTGCGTAGGGGACCTGGATTATGTTCCCTGACAGCTTCACCCGGGGACTCCGTCCTGTGAGGTGACTGATCGGGCCCATCGCCCGAGGCTGAAGCCCAGGGAATCTCGTGCTTTGTGGAGAAGACGTGGAGGTTTATGTCGGGTCGAATCTCTCCACTCGTCACCAGCTCTGATGGGCTTCTCCCCGTCCCTGAAACGCACCCTTTTTCCCTGAATCATCTTTACACTTGTTAAACGTGACATAAGGCGAATGTGCGAACTTTTCTCACCTTCTACCAAAAACGACTTGCATCTGTTCACGGTTTTTTTTATTTTATTTATTTTTTTATTGCTATTTACGACAGATTGCTCAACATCAGCTGAAAATTCTGGAGAAGTAATATCGGCTGTGATCTTATGTGACTTAAAATTAAAAAAATTATAATAAGGCAATCTGAGGAAGACATTTCCGTCAAGTGGGTGAAAATGACTGTAGAACGAAGCAGTAAAACCATGGCATGTCAAAAAATGTAATTTACGAGATTTAACGATTTAAATTCAAAACTGCCAAATAGGAAACTCTGATTCAATATGAATCCAGCCCCCCTGTGGTCTCTGTCATTAGACATCTGTGGGAAACGGCATGGTGAGAACTCGTCATGTTTGGGAAACTGGCCATGGGGGTCTCCTTGGGGGGGGGGTCTCCATCCCTGCTCGCCTTTCCGACATTTCTGCTCCGCGTCGCTCCTGGTGTGGAACGGCCTCTTTTATGCATGTTTTCAAATAATTCTGCAGTGAGGTGTTTCCTCGCAGATTTCCCATCCTGGAAACCTGTGCTCTCGTTAACATGCTGCACCGACGCGCATCCATGACAACGTGCCTTTCCGGGCTGACGCAGGCGAGAGGCGTCCAAGCCAGCGAAAGGTTAAATTCCCTGCGACTGCGTCACGTTTCCCGTCCTCAGGTGGATGCTCATATATTTTTTTTTTATTTCTTAGGCACAGCAAAGCCCTGGGCTTGATTTATTCGGTAACATTTAAGGCCATGTTTTTAGTAATTTATAAACACATTCATAAGAAGTAATAACACATTCATAAAGCATTATAAACATGGCTATAAATATTTATCAAAAGGTAACACATTATATATGTTTATCAATGCTTTATGAAGCTCTCATCTATAATGCACTACAGATAGCTTTATAATGCATTATAATGGTCAGTATAAGCATTAAGGATGCTTTGTACTGCATTATAAAGGTATCTATAGTGTGTTATAGATGAGAGCCTCATAAGGCAGTCATAATGCATAATTAACATAGCTATAATGTGTTATACCTTTTGTTAAATATTTATAGCCATGTTTATAATGCTTTATGAATGCATTATAATGCATTATGAATGTGAATGTGTATAAGTTACACACGGCCTTAAGTGAAGTGTTGCCATTTATCCTGTGCGTCCCGCTGTGAGGACAGACACTGCTAACCCTGTGTATCATTTTTTTTGTTTTGTTTTTCTACCCCTTTGAAGTCTCCGCAGCCGAAAGCTGAGTTTGTCTCCAGCTCAGTATTTTTCATGTTCCCCTTAAGTTCTTGTTTCTGAACATAATGGACCGCAGTCAAAGCCGCTCCAAGCGTTCTCATCCTCTCTAGGGAGCATTCAGTGAGCTGCAACATCATGTATGACATAAATTGAAAAAAAAAAATTATATATTTTTTTAACTGGCTTAATGGTTTTCCTACATCAGAATTCCTCAGAAAGAGTTGTTTTCCTTGCTCTTATTATGCAGGCACTTCTATCCACAGCAACATAAATTTTTTGTTGAGAGAGCTGGAACCCTGGATTAGAGACGTGGCTCAGGGGCCCAGTGGCGAAATCACTATTCAGACCCTGGGATTTGAACCGACACACTTCTGATCACACATACAGCAGCCAAAGCCATTGAGCCACACACCTGTATTTGCTTCAGACTGTCTTTGCTTTTGGTCTTTGGGTCACTGTCTCACAAAAAGGACTTGCCATGATGTTTGCAGAAGCCCCGATTTTTAATGGGGACCTTTACAGTCAATAGTGGACACATTGTTTTGCAGAAAGGACACGATGGATATATGTAAGGACTGACACCAGGCTTACTGTAAGCAAGTTGCAGGGGCGATTTTATGATTTTTATAAGGTGAGAGCCAGTGTAATGTTTTGAATTGGTGAGGGCCAATCAGCTTTCAGCTGGGGCCAGTGTATATGGGAGAGCGTGTGTGTGTGTGTGTGTGTGTGTGTGAGAGAGAGAGAGAGAACAGGCCATCGCCTGGAGAGTAGTTCCATCATGTCTGTCAGGTGCCACGTTCAGCTTTGGGCAGAAGCGACAGATTTATTCCAGGTCTCAGGTTCTGTCGTCCCTTACGGTCAAGCTTGTCACTTCAGCTCACATGTCCCCGACGGTCATAAACACACATGCACGCACTGGGGGCATGGAGGTCTCATGCTGCAGAGGTCACCCTGTCGCTGGCGTGCTCCGGGGAGAGCGGGGAAAGCGCTGCAGAGTTAGCGCAGCTCCCCGTGTGAGCCGCGGGCGACCGGAGATGGGACAGGAGCTCGCCAGGTGCAGGTGTGATCTGCGGCGTGTTTCCACAAGGCGCGGGAGCGTTACAAGGAAGGCAGCGAATGCCGCCTTTATGGCAAAGTGCACCATGGTGGAAATGCGGCTGTTTTTTTCCGTTCCGCTCTGCGTGAACGGTGGCTTGACGGAACAAATCGTGCCGAGAAGCTGTCGTGAATTTTCAGTTCAGATTGTCCTAGATAAAAAGAAGATGGCTGCAGCACGAGGATTAAGGCCTAGCCGGTTTCTGCCAGGAGAAATCCTTGGAAGGCTCACAGATGGTTCAGTGCAATCCAAAAAAAGTAGATCTCTACATGCTTTTGGTAAAGTCTCTTTTATCTCCAGTACATCTGAAGATGTCTTCAAATGAGATTACTATAAGATCTCAGCTGCTTCTCTTCTCGGCCTCCAAAACAATCTAAAATTATTATTATTTTTAGATTATTTTTCCTTCCTTCAGATGCAATTGCATGAGGTATAATTCAGACGAAACAAAAAGTCTTATGGAGCTGAAGGCTTGAGAAATAAAGAGCGATAAAATCTGCCTGCAGCAAGAGCTGATAGATTTGTGTGTGCGTGCGTGCGTGTGTGTGTGTGCGTGCATGTATGTGTGTGCGCGTGTGTGTGTGTGTGTGCGTGCATGTATATGTGTGTGTGTGTGTCTGTGTGTGTGTGCGCATGCAAATATCTCTCAATATCAGTGTATTTTTAATGATCAAAATGCAAGGAGACCCCAGACAACAGCAACAAAACCTCAGCTGAAGCAGGGAGATAAATGGGGAAACGTGCACCAGTTATTTCACGAATGTTGTATGAAAAAGCATGCTGGATAATTAATAATAGATCATTAATATCAATCAGAAAGGTATTGTTTATAGTAAATGTTGTAGAGGAGGTAATAATTATGTTGAGAGCAGATACATGTATATATCCTGGGGGTAAATATAGGAGCCTTTAGCAAAGTGTGTATGTGAAGCTGTTACATGTGAAGCTGTTACATGTGAAGCTGTTACATGTGAAGCTGTTACATGGATTAGACTGCCGTGCTGTGACTTGGAGCCGGTGCCGTGACGCCGTTTGGTCGGGACCTCCGCGTTCGAGGTCAGCCAGACACTCCCTTTGCAGCTGCCTTGGCCCCACTGACTCTCCATCCCCCCCAGATGGCAAGTCGGCCGTCCGAGCCAATCAGGCGCAAGTCACTGTCACAATGGCCGATCTGTGCTTAAAGGCACCATTTACTGCACTTTTCATGAATCACAGAGGCCATTGGTGGATTCACTTGTTTCATGTATAGATATAAAATTCATATAGTTGTATATTTTTATACACCGTCTTTTTATCAATTTTCTTAACTTTTTTTTCTCTGCATTGTCACTGGAGTGCCACACTGTGGGATGACACAGGTATTCTTAATCTTATTTGTGAGTTTAGTTGATGGCTGTATAAAGGAAGTCCATTCAGGCATGGTGCTCAGGTTCTTGGAGATTTACTGGTTTTGCTCCTTTAAATCAGAAACCAAAGTGTTTGTTTGTATGTAACTTGCCCCTCGGCCTCCGCCACCTGTTCATACGAGGTTGCCAGATAAGGTCCTCTGATTCATCCTCCGATCTCTAAGTCCCATGGATGGGCTCCAGTCCTGAGACTTCCTGAAGTATGAAACAGGAAGAACCTTCTATTTTTCTTGGTGACTTTGAATTATTGTGCCTTTTGTATCACTTATAATAAATGCAGCATTATGCATGTGGTAAAGTTGCATTCATACAACTCTAAAATACTTCAGGCAGTCTAAAGAGTAGCTCAGCTGAAGTGACAGAAGTAAACATTCTGTCTGCAAAATGTTCCCAGTATAAAAAGAAAATGTGTTGAATAATATGGGAAAGTGCAACGGGGGGGCATGTTGCATCATTTCCCTTCTCAAATGTTGCATCATTTCCTGTCTCAAGTGTTGCATCATTTCCTGTCACTGAAGATGCGCAGTTACAGAAATAAGCTCCAGAAACAGTTTGGACAGTTATCAAACACCACACGTAGTGTGCAGGACAGCTGCAATATTTATACAACACGAAATTTATTGGATACTGGTTTGGATATTTTTATTAACTTGGTTGCATAGTGCGAGACTGGGTGTCAGGTGCCAGCTGCCAGTTCTGACTGGATGTGAACACGTTTTCCTTACTCAGGTCCATGGAACCAACTGTGTTTGCTGGCTTGTTTTGCAGCTGAGCTCCTAATTTTGGAAGGGAGAGGTGTTGATTGAATTCTGACAGTGATTTTGCATAGCTCAACATCCCCGTTAGCCTGTGGGACTGTATCTGCGGTGTGTGTCAGTTAAATGGACGAAGGCATGCTTGTTTGTATCTGTCTGTTTGACATTACCACTTATCTGGTTCAGGGTCACGCGGAGTCTGGAATCCATCCCAGGAAGGCAGGGCACGCATCAGGGATGTCCCTAGATGGGAAGCCAGTCCATCACAGGCCACACGTCAGCGGCAAATCAGAGAGACACCTGACGTGCCAAATCGTTCCAGGCCGCCGAAAATGAGAAACTATAAGAATTCGTTTTTAATTCCTATTTAATTTGCTGTATTTTCTGTCTGCATAAAATCTCGAATTAACTTTCATTAAGCATTCAAAGGGTTCATTGTCCTTTGCTCTATTACAGGTACTGAGTACAATGAGACACTTACTTGTGTGTTTCTGGAGACAGAAGACAAGAAGGCAAACAGTAACAGGACATAGAACATCAGTTAGGAAAAATAAACATGAATATGTAAAATATTACTATGGATATGGAGATATGGATGTATCTGGGAGAATATATATGCATTCGTAATGGTAATACTAATATTACTATATTAATATTCCCTTATGATGTTTACTGCAATATCCAATTTCGTACATCCTTGGATGTATCATAAACCATGTCAGATTTTATTTATATATTTACAAACAGTAGATCCACCAACAGGCACAGTGACCTATGTCACATAAACCATGTCAAACTTCATATATTTACACACAAAGTGGATCCACAGTCCAGGTATACATTTAACACAAAAAAAATTGGCAATAAAATAGATTTAGTTGAGTGTTACCCAATGATAATAGTATGTCACACACACACAAAGCCTATATTTTTTCGGCTCTTATCAGGTTTCGCTGTGCGTATTCAGCTGCAGACTTCCTAGACATCGTGTTGTATATGCAATTATAGCTTCCCTGATAAGAGAGGATATCGTCATAGCAACCGCGGGGGAAGCGGAATATTTTAAAGTCGCTTACTTTGTCAGGTTCACCGCGACGATGCTGCTTCAGAAATGACAATGCGGCGGCGCCCGGCCGGCGTTGCAGCTTCGCACATGTCTTACCGCGGTGCGCGCAGTTGAATGACATTTAACGTCGTCACGCATCTCGTAATGTCCGTGAATCAGCGCGTCTTTCCTCCAAGGCTGAAGATCAAAGTGGGCAAACTTCCCACCTCAGTTTCCCCTCGCGTCCAAACCACGGTGCTCGTTTTACTCCACAGAAAATCGCACCGCTTTGACTAAAGTGTCTGTAATAATACCTTTTTCATAACCCGTTTTCCCATTACCGCATATTTAAAAAAAGAAATACATATTAATTGCTCATAATAAACGATAATGATAAGATATATTAACTGTTTTAGCTGAGAGTTTTCTTGGGTAATTAAGCTGGTGTTGTTTCCTCTGGAGCTTGTTTTTTTTTTTTAAGTTTTTATTTCCATACATATTTTATTCTTTGTGCCTTATTCTTTTCTCTAATGAATCTGTCTGCTTTCCAAAAAGAGTGCTAAGTTCAACGAAATATCCAAAGCACTAAAACTCGATACAATATTAATAGATATAATTTAAGAGCCATGGTTACATCATTGCAGAAGTCAAATTTGCAATCATGTTAATCTGCAGCAATATATATAAAATGTACCCAGAGGGCTATCCTGTATATACAAGTGTATTCATACTTGTCACAAAGTAAAGGGTTCATGAATCCAGGAACAGTCTGGGAATTACAAGAGCAGTTTTATTGCTTGTGTGGTGTAACATGTATTAAATTGTGATTTATTCAATCTGCAGATGTGCAGCAATGAAAACCAGCATACAAGCTGGAATCAGGAGTGGGAAATGGATTTATCGCATGCTTTATTGCAGTTTGTTCAAGTGTGCAACAGCTTAAGGGTCCAGGATCAGAACCAACAGCCGTAATTTTGTCAGTCTATGTTATTTGACGCGTAAATACAAGCCTTGCTTCACAGTGTATAAAGGTTGCCAAATAAGATTCTCTGATTCACCCTCCAATCCCGACATCCCGTTGGTGGGTCGATGGAATTCAGTTTTCTGAATCCTGTTCTGCACTGGAAGTCTTTGGGTTAAAAAAAATGTAAGATTAGATTTTTGTGTTTTGCAGCCTTTTGCGAGTTCTGTTTTATTCATTTGAGGTGTAAATGTGTAGGGAAACGTGGAGACGTCTTAGGGAGAGAAGCTACGTACAGATTAGCATGGTGTGATTTTAGGCAAACACAGTTCCCTTAAAGTTAAACCCAGCTCACAGTAGCTTAACGTCTTAAGTTGTGTTTGACTTGGCTATGCAGTGAGTCTCTGAAAATCACTGTTTCAACATGGTCAGATTCATTCTTAACGCGAGAAGCCAGCTGGCCTCGGTGTTTAGGTTGTTGCCAAGTGGCTTTTTGTTTTTTATTTTGCCTTCTTTTGCATTATCAAGACCAAAGGCGTAACTTTGGGGGAGTTGAGGTCTCCACCCATATAAGGGGAGACGTGATTAGGGGGGGTTACAATCCCCCCGTAATTCACACCTATGATCAAGACCCGCTCAATTGTGTAATAATAATGCTGTTATCGAATGATATAACTTTTTGATGATTGTGTACCAACTTGTTTCTTATGCTCCAGTTTTCATTTTCAATCTTCCTCGTATCCCTTATTTTCTTAAATTCGCCGCTTCCCGACGTTTTCGCTAAGCTGTCTTGTTTTGTCCGCCTGCTACATTCGCGTTCTCCTGTGCTCTTTTTCTGTCTCCCCTCCGCTTATGTTCTCCGCCGTATTGCGCTCGTGTCGCCTCGCGAAACGTGCAGATATTTGTTCGTGCTGTTTCTGCTTCAGAACCTCACACTAGTTCGGTGGCCGTCTTTGCGTGTTTGTTCAGGGAGCCACGGCATTCGGAGACCGGCCCACACACCCGGGGCTTGTTGTTCAGAACTCGGCCGTAGTGAACACTAACTGCTGCCTTTTTCAGTATGAAACCCAGGTTATTAATATTCAAATGTTCATTAAACCTGCTGGTTACTTTTATAAACTGAGTTGAATTCATGGCTGGTTTTCCCTTTGGAACACCCTTCCACATTTTAACACCCTTCAAAGAGAATTTATTGCATGTTTATGTCACGTTGAATATGTATTATCTTATATCCCAGCGCGATGCTGGGTGTTTTGAATCCTCATTAATTTCGCGGGTGCGCATGTAAATCTGGGATTTTCTCAGGTGCTCCACTTTCCGTCACTCTCGTGGAACAATATTTAGATCAGGGTTTCTTAAAGTGGGATGATTTTCCCAGTATGTTACTTAGGATTTTAAAGAGGAGGTAAGGATCATGCACTGATTACAGTGTGTCACTGCACCCACCACACGACAAACCACCTCAGGGATGAGAACCTGAGTGCAGCCATGTGGCAGGTGATACCTCAGCATCACACTAGCCTGAATGGACCAGTGTGAGTTTTTTTCCAGTGGCTGGAGTGTCAATCCTGCCACCAACCCTCACGTTCTTCTCTGTGAGTTGGAGGACCTCCTTATAGGGCTGGATGTAGATTAATATCATACCCAGGATGTAGCCATTGCAGGTTAATGGCCTTGCTCAAGGGCCCAACGGAGTAGGATCACTCCAGGCATTCACGGGATTTGAACCAGCAACCTTCCGGTTGCTGGCACAGATCCCTAGCCTCAGAGCCACCTCACCACTCTTTTAAAATGGTTGCCAAAATCTTCCATCACCCCCCCTTCCCCCGGTCGGCAAAATCTAATGAGAGGGTCACGAGTTTCTGGCACTGTTATTTAGGCTGAAAAGTTCGGCAACCCAAAGATCATTGTGACCTTAATTGTAAGTTATTCACTTGTTTAAAATAGCGTGATGGGGTATGATTATTTTTTATTGCACACAGTGCACAATGTACTTCCAATATTTAGCTTATGTTTACTTAATGGGGTGGCAAGGTGGTTAACCCTTGCCTCACCCCTCTGGGACCAGGGTTTGAGTCTCTGCCCTGGCCCTATGTATGTGGAGTTTGCATGTTCTCCCCGTGTCGTCGTGGGGTTTCCTCCGGTTTCCCCCCACAGACCAAAAACTGAACCATGATGAACTGGAGTTGCTAAATTGTCCATAGGTGTGAATGGTGACTGTGCCCTGTCATGGGTTGGTGCCCCATCCTGGATTGTTCCCTGCCTTGTGCCCTGCGATGGGTTGGTGCCCCATCCTGGGTTGTTCCCTGCCTTGTGCCCTGCGATGGGTTGGTGCCCCATCCTGGGTTGTTCCCCGCCTTGTGCCCTCAGATCTGCCGGAGCCTAGACGAATATTGCACTCGATCATTTTGCTTGCACTGCCTCTGATTTCCTCAACTCTGGCTAATACACAATTATTCTTACTTCCTCCCTCACCCTTTCTGGGGTGTGCTCCATGGAGCACAATGTCGTTGAAGAGTTTATGCCTCTGCGGCCTGCAAGACAACAACCTCCACCTCCGGCACCTACCCTCCAACCTGCCTGCCCTTGGCTCAACACGATGCCTCGCCATCCATCCTGCGGCTGTGTGTCTATTAATCCTGCCATCGTGCATCAAGCACCACGTGCCTGCACCGGTCGGCCGCTGCATTGAGACATATATTTCAACCCCTGTATTAGCTTAGTCATTTCATCTTGTCTGTATTAGCTTAGTCATTTCATCTTGTC